AAAAATAAGATGTCGGCAAAAGGACACAAGCAGGAAGAAGGTAGAAACAACACCCCACACTCACAGCAGAGACAGGGCAGGCAGTTTTGTCAATTCACGACTTACTACATTAGTTACATTTCAAATTGCCACCAAGGACCACTAATTTCTAACTGAAAGGGGGACATCAGGAGGAGCTGTCCTTATATGTTCAGGAAACAAGAGACATCCCTCCCATGCCCACACACGCACGCGCGCACACCCCCCTCCCCCAGCACCACGTCCACTCAAGCACACTGCTTCTGCAGGACTTTCTAGGTCCTGCTGACTTATTGCAAAAGGGACCAGAAGAACCCTTGTTAGGGAGTTTGCCAACATGAAGCAGTCACTGCTGGGGGACAGACTGACCTAGGGCTGCTGGGCCCTATTCAAAGACGAGTTCAGAGGCCACTCTCTGCTTCAGACCCATTTATCAACTTTCTTGGTGACAGGAAGCACTGTTGTTTTGGGGTGCCATCAAGTAAGCTTTGACCCATAGAGACCCTGTGCACAACAGAGCAGAACACTGCCTGGTCCTGTGCCATCCTCACAATTGTTCCTGTGCCCGAGCCCATTGAGGCACTCACTCTATTAATCCATCTTGTTAAGAGCCTTCCTCTTTTTTGCTTCCTCTCCACTTTACCAAACACGCTGTCCTTCTCCAGGGACTACTCTATCCTGACAACATGTTCAAAGTATGTAAGACGAACTCTTACATCCTTGCCTCTAAAGAGTACTCTGGCCTTACTTCTTCCAAGACAGATGTTTGGCTTTTTAGCAGTCCATGGTATTTTCAATATTCTTCTCCAGCACCACAACTCAAATGCATCGATTCTTCCTCAGTCTTCCTTAACCACTGTCCAACTTTCACATGCAGATGACGGAATGGGGAATACCATGGCTTGGGTGAGGTGCACCTTAGTCCTCAAAATAACATCCTTGATCTTCAATACCCTAAAGAGGTCCTGTGCAGCAGATTTACCTAATGTAATACATTTTAAGATCTCTTGACTGCTGTTTCCATGAACACTGATTGTGAATACAAGACAAAACCCTTGACAATGTCACCAATTTCAGGGGGTAGCATATGAGCAAGAACAAGCCAAAAACAAAAAAAAAAGGAATTCCATCTTCACAAAACAGAAAAGCTCCTTTGTTTCATTAAGCAGCAACTAGTAGAGAAACCACTGACAAAAACAGCAGCAGCAGCATCAACCCACAAGCAGCTGGCATCCATCCCGTTACGGACTCAGGGCCCACACTGGCAAGCACTGTGCACCAAAATTGCCCCAGGACTTCCGAGGCACGAGCCAGTTACGCAGATGGAGCACAGCCCCACACACCCCTCAAACAGAGGTCTGGATTCTTTCGTGGGACACTAAATAGCTGCCTTTTAGAAAGTCCTGTCCCCTAGCATGTCTTTCTGTCTCAGGTATCTTTACCATTGGCAGATGCTGAAATGAGTATGAGCCGCCTGAATGAACTTAAACAAGGGAAGCTACATCAGGTTAGGGAGGGGAGAGGGGCACTTCGTGGTGAGGACCAGCCCCAAATTCACCCTCTGGAAGGTAAGAGTGGTAGCTAGATATTTCTAAAATTCTTATTTGGAGTTTCATTTTCTTTCAATCTTTCTACAAAAGCTAAAAAAAAACCAAGAGTATGAAACAACACTGAAGCACCAAAATGATATTCTGCAGTCGATTCAAGGAGACCCTTCCATCTTACTGTCGCATCCCAGCACACCCACCTGGCTTGCCTACTTGTACACAGCTAAGAGGACTACATCACTGCTAGGCATTGGTGAACTGTTTCCAAAGCCCAGAAGAAATACAAGCAACCGCGTAGGGCAAGCTCCTCATCCCACTGCCCCCACAGTCTGAGGGCCCGTAGTACTAGTGTACACTCCCCTCTAAAATAGAAAGGAGGGTTGAGAAAGCATTCTAAATGGCAGCAGTGGAACCTCTACCTTACAGCTCCAAAGGGGGAAGAAGTCTGGAAATAGCCTTAATGACTCCCACGCAAAAGTGGCATATGACAAACATACACACGTGAATACCAAGAGGACTATTTGGGGGATGGGGATGGGGATGGAGATGGAGGAGAGTGTGGTTTTGCCCTAACACCGCCACCAGGAAACAAAACTGTTTGCCATGCAACATTCTAGGTTGGACAAGGGACTGGACTGGGATGTCCACTGATACTTCACAGTCAACCTTATGGCTGTCAGTCGCCACCAACTCACCTATGGGACAGGGTAGAACTGCCCCTGTGAGTTTCTGAGACTGTAATTCTGCAGGAACAGAAAGCCCTATCTTTCTCCCTTGGTGATTTCAAACTGCTGACCTTGCACTTAGCTGACCAACATGTAACCACTACACCACCAGGCTCATAAGGAGTTTAGAAGGAGGGAAATAAATAAATCCATAAAGCCCATAAAAAGCAAAGCTCTTGAACTATATGTGACCTCCTCCCTCGGGGACGGACAACAGAAGAGTGCGTGAAGGGACACGTCGGACAGGGCAAGATATGACAAAATAATAATTTATAAACTATCAAGGGCAGGGAGAGAAGGGAAAAATGAGGACCTAATGTCGGGGGTTTAAGTGGAGAGAAAATGTTTTGAGAATGATGTACAAATGCGCTTTACACAATTG